GGTAGCTAACCCTGTGGTAGCTAGCCCTGTGGTAGCTAACCCTCTGAGAATGGAGCCTCCAACAGTAAACCACGCTGAGCTGTTGGTAGTGACGTGATTAAAAAAGCTAGCCTGTGCTAATCGGCGTACAGTTGTAGTTGCTGCTTTTGTCCTGTAGGTGGTAGTGTAGCTGCCTGGAGGACCCTCTTCTTCTTCTGGTGTTTAAAGTGAGACTGCAGCAGTTATTGATGCAAACAAATGAACCCCTGTGACCCCCTTAGCCTGGCTCCACCTCCTGCTGGACCACGCCCATGGTCTCCCATCATGCCTTTCATCTTGACCATCTCCATAGTCACTGGTCACCTTCCAGGTTCCAGACGCTGCAGCTCACCTGAGGCCACCTGCCCGCTCACTCACCTGTCTGTGTGTCCACCTGTCTGTCCTCCCGTCTGTGTCCGCAGGTTTTAGAGACGACGACTACATGGGGGGGCGGAGTCGAGGCGGAGGCAGTCGCCCTGGTGACAGAAGGGGAGGAGCTGCAGGGGTGGGTCGCTTTAGAGACGGACCCCCCCCTCGCGGAGGAACGACAGACTTCAGGGAACCGTCTGAAGGTGGCGCCCTCTGGTGTTCGTTAGCCTCAATTAGTCAAGTTGTTCTTCTGATCTGCTCAGTCCTGGGATGTGTTGGGTTTGGATGAGTCCAGGTCGTCTACGTCGTTCTTAGCCCTGTAGAGCTCAGGCTGTTACAGTGGTAGTGTTGGAGCCGTAACAAAGCATGTAGCTTCAAGAAGAGCCTAAATGTGAGACATAGAGATGGTTGACATGTAGAAGGACGGTGAGGGACTGTGTTTAATCCTGATGTGTGTGTCTGTGCTTCTGAAGGTGTGTAACTGGCGTTTTGTTGTCCACAGAGGAGCGTGCACAGCGGCCTCGGCTGCAGCTGAAGCCTCGCACCGTCTCCGAGCCGCTCAACCAGGTCGCCAACCCCAACTCGGCCATCTTCGGCGGGGCGAAGCCGCGAGAGGAAGTGATCACCAGAGAAAAACCATAAGAGACTGACGGCCGCCGGGCCGGGGGGCGGGGAGCCGGGGAGGGAGGGGAGCGAACGGATAGAGAACTTTAACGAAACGCCAACCGGATGATTCAAACGCCACAGCTAGCATTCCTTCCTGACAGACAGACAGACAGACAGCGAACGAGCGAGCGGACGCCGCCCTCCTCTTCTTCTTCTTCTTCTTCTTCTTCTTCTTCTTCTCCTTCTTCTTCTTGCTGTTTGAGTTCAGAATATTTATTCTTAGTGGAATAAAGCTGAAACACTCTGATCAATAATAAACCTGTAACACAAACGCAGCGAGCAGCTCGTCAATGCATGTTTGGGTTCCTCTGCCCCGCCCCCTCACTCACCTCCACCTCCGCTTACTGTGATGTCACATCTGCTTTGTGCTGTAGCCCCGCCCCCTCCCATCAGAGGTCACACCTGTAAAGTCCTTCAGTTTTTTTCTTTTTGGCATTTGTAGCTGCAGCCCCGCCCCCTCACCCTGATTGGTCGAGCAGAAGCCAAATGCTTTTTTTTTTATCTGCTGTCGCTCGTTTCCATGGTGACTCATCAATCTGTTCACGTTTGGTCCTGAAATCTTCTGTGTTTCTGTTACCTGCTCGTCACTGTGAGGGGGCGGGGCTACACCTGCAGCTCTGAGCAGGCCCCGCCCCCTCAGGTGTACCTACAGCACCTGATGGATTCTTAAAATAAACTAGCTGTAGAGTGATGACACTCTCCTTCCTGCTCCCATGATGCACTGCTGCTGGTCGACTCACCTGTTCAGGTGAAGCTGCGTTCCCTGTCGGCTGATGAAAGGCTGCGTTCAGGTCCTGTGAAGAAAAAAGGGAAAAACTGTTTACAAACACCCACCATTGGAAATCAACCTCGAAAAATAATCAGTTCATTGATGGTTAAAAGCTTTTATTTTCCGACAGACCCTGAACGCAGCACAGCTCAGAGGGCGTCTGAGGTGAGGGGCGTGGCCTGCAGCTCCAGCTCCTGATTGGCCGGCTCGGGCTGATAGTTGGTTGTCATGCAGCGTTTTTCTGTCCTGTTCAATCAGATTTAAAGATGTGATGTCATCCACTAAGCTCTCCTCTGATTGGTCCGCTGATCCACACTGAAAACTTCTGAAAACGTTCCCGTCTCTTTCTTCGACGTGATCGTGTGTTTTCAAGATAACTCACAAACTTCCCCCAAAAAATTAGCTACAAATAACAGAAGGAAGACAACTTTTGTTTTTTACTTCCGATGTGGAAAAATCTTCATAATTTACAGATAAAAAGCTGATTTTCAGTAAATTATGAGGAAAGTCTCAACCAAATTAGTGCTGTTTGAATCTCCAGCAGAAGGTGGCGCTAACGCACCTTTTTGTACGTGTCAGATTAACAGCAGAGTCATGGAGGGAAACAACAGATGGAAAATTTAAAAAGAATACAGGAAAGGAAGGTGGAAGAAGGTCCAGTCTTCCTTTTGTTCTTGATTCATTTTATCGTCTATTTATTGATCATTGACTTTTTTTTTCTATTTTTCGTCTGTTTGTCCCTCCAGCTTAAAATCAGAAAATTCAGACAAAAACTTTGGAAACAGTCCATGAAAAATGTTTGGGAGACGAATGAAGAAGGATTAAAATGTGTTTCTCCTCGTTTGATTTTTGGTCCTGGTCTCTCTAAACCTCGGACCTGCTCCTTGGTCCTGGTCTCTCTAAACCTCGGACCTGATCCTTGGTCCTCCGTCGGTGCGTTTAAAGAAGAAGACGTGTTTGCTGTCAGGTTGTTTCAGTGTGGATCAGAGTCCAGATGAAGAACTGTAAAGTTTGGGTTTGAAGGTCAAACTGTAAAGTCTTTTTTTCTTTGGGTTTCTCACCTGATGTGGAGCGGACACCTGGCCAGGTGGGTCAGGACCAGGATCAGGTCTGCAGTGTTTCGCTGGTTTTGCTCTGCGTCACTTCCAGAATGTAGTTTTGTTTCTTGGAATAAAAACATCTGTTTTAACCTTTATTTTTTCCTCCACTGTTTATGGCAATAAAACTGTATCATCATCTTCATCGTCCTCTTCGTCGTCGTGCACCAATCAGAATGTTTGACTTCAGGGTGGGGAGGGGTGGGGGTGGAGGGGGGGTCGATTCCTTGTTTTGATTTTTCTTCCAAATGAAAGAAGAATAAAGAATAAAGCTCGTTCTGTTCTGCCTTTCTCTCTCTGTGCTTCCTCTCTCCGGTCTCAGAGGTTCAGTCTGTCCATGAGAAGATGTTTAGAGATGCTTCAGAGTTTTCTTCACATCACAGCGATAGTTGAAGCAGACGGCTTCAGAAGCTCCACTTTGCTGGAGATTTAGTTTTAAATGGATAAACTGAATGAAACAAACCCAAAACAGGTTTTAGACATGATGTTTGTGTTTTAGGGCTGCAGGAGCTCTTCAGCCAATTAAACACACCGTCTCCTGCACTCTGGTGAATCCTGATCAGTTTATTTTTTCCGCTGTCAGAAGTTATGAGCCTTTATTGATCCTGTTGGTTTCTATCAGTCTGAACATCTGGACGCTGCAGTTTTACCTCATTCTGATAAAACTGTTCAGACTCCACAGGGATCTCCACGTCTCAGTTCTCCTGCAGACTGCATCAGGTTGTCCTCCAGGATTTCTCT